CTTCATATAGGAATAAAACAACTGATCAATAGCTTCCTGGGTTTTTTTCCCCCAATTAAAATCAGTCGATGATGTAAACAATAATCCACACAAACCCTCATTCGTAGTGATATGACACAATTTACATAACATATAAATTAAACTAAAGGGTTTATGATAGCACTCTTGTTCAAACAGTGAGATTATTATTGAGTTCGTAAGTAGCCATAACTCAACATTAACATATAGTCATCATATAATTTAAAGTTATAAAATACAATTCCATGTATGTGTGAGTGTGTGTATGAAAGAGAAAGACTGATGAAGTACAGCACTGATGATGAATTTAATAATAACTTGGGGAGAAACGCTGAATACTCTCTAATTTATGGAGGTGTTTTTGTTTATCCCTTCAAAGATAATTGAGCTGATATATATAGTCTTAGTTCAATACAATTTCCCTAACATTTAATAAGGACATACTCAATATTCAACTCCATATGTCAGTGATCACTTCATACTATGATCAATCAGTATAAACAACTCAGTCATACAGTGTATTTCAGTCATGAATTAAAATTCTCAGTGATAATGTCTTAGAATGTGAAACCGTGTGAAGAGGATCCGAACCATACAAGGGGAAAAAGTCCACAGGAGTTTACAGGTAGACTTCGTTAACATGTGTTAACTAGCACGAAACCTACTTAATAGACAAATACTAATTCATTGAAAATGCCTCCCCGATATTCAATAACTTTCTAATTGATATCAATCATGATGAACATAATTTTTCAACTGAATTCATTTACATAAATCATTTAACTAAGCTATGTGTACGTCAATTTATCAATAACGGATAAAAAAATATGGTATTTCACAGATTGAAATCATGAGTCAATTGAAGCTAGACGACCATAGAAAACCTGGAAGCACTGGACGGCCGTTTCGTCCCAGTATGGCAGTGCGCATCCATGATCCCGCACCCCACGAAATTTGAGCCTAGGACCTATCAGTCTCGCAACAGGAGCTTAAACAACTAGACCACTGAACCGGCTGGTATCCAACGGTGTTAATGTCTAACTTCAACCAATCCACGAAATTGCGCCACCGTACACCATTGTCTTCAGTGAGTTCCTATCTCACAACAGACCTAGTTGAACCACACTGCTGGTAACAACTTCTCACTAGAACTCTAGGAGTATCTCTTGAAGTCAGTCACTAGTGAGCAGATAATTATTATCAGAAGGGGTTTGTGGAGATTTTAGAAATTTCAAAGATTATAATCATGAGTCAATTGAAGCTAGACTGGCGCGAAACTGATAAGTCCTGGGTTCGAATCTCGCGAGGGGCGGGATCATGGATGCTCACCGCTGAGGAGTCGCATACTAGGACGAAACGACCATCCAGTGCTTCTAGGTTTTCCATGGTGGTTTAGCTTCAATTGACTCATGATTTCAATCTGTGAAATTTCTAAAGTCTCCACAAACCCCTTCGGATAAATATGGTATTGTCATTATTAATACCGAAAGTATTTACTAACAACAATTTAGTTGCCCTATTTATACTATTTATTTATGGGTATCTTTACATTTGACACTAGTTAAGTAAACTGTGCATACATTCCATCGATATTATTATTATTACCATTATTACTATAATTACTGTTATTATCATTATTACTATTATTATTATTATCACTACTACCGTAACAATAAATGACCCTTCAATTCCAGCCCCTTACAAATATAATAAATAAATAATTCAGTAATTTAGAGAGAAATATTCTTTACACAGTTGTTTATCATTTATTTCATATAACTAATTATGTATTGCATCATAATTCCTGTCACATTTTGTAAACAATACACTTTTATCTAAGTGGCAGTAGCCAAGTTTATGCATATATATATATAATATGATGTCACAATTGTATAACTGATAAACAGTAGACTATTCATTTTATGCAAAACATAATTGTTTACATACACAATATGTTGTTTAATACATATATACATACGTTTCATTTTATATCAAAATGGTGTGTTTACAATTGAGAGAGACACAAATAGAAAGAGAGAGAGAGAGAGAAAGGAAGGAAGAGGGTAAGTTGCATTAAGATCAGATTTGAGTAGACAAACAATGATAAATGTTTAACATGTCATAGTTTTAACATAAAATATCATTGGAGTTCATGAATTCCCCTTAGATAAAGTTAATTTGAAATTGTAAGTCAAGCCATGATGATCATCTCTAAATGATAATTCTTAAAGGATAACATGTATGAGTCAATCTATCCAGACTCGAAACAAGTTACAACTTGGCACAAGTATGCACTAGTTTTAAATGTTCTTACTGAACACTGGCAAAGTGATATGAAATTAACAGGACGAACGGCAAAAGAATTGAAATGATAATAATAATAGAAGTCTCAATTATAGTAAAATGTCGACTAAGTTCACTAACTCAGTAGATAATGTGTTGGTCTTTTAAGTGAAAAGTACTAGAGTCAGGTTCTAATGTGGACACAAACACTGAGATTCAAGTGTATCTAATCGGATGAAAAATCACTACTGGAAATCACATAGCACATATATTGAGATTAGTTTGAAAAGGAAAGAAGAATTGATGGAGTAAGAAATGTGATATTCAAAACGAGATATTAAAAGTTAAGAAATAGAGGAAAATACAGAAATGATTCCATTTGCACTATTAAAACTATCTAACTATCAATAAGGCTTATACCACAATGTAATGGTCTTTTGTGTACTTCTTTCTTAAAACTTACCCACTCTTATTTAAGCCAGCCAGCAGTATATATAGGTGATGGTTGGGCATACTTGATCACATTTCCCTGAAACTTTAGTTGATTAAGTTACAAAGTCTCAATAATTGACTCGTCATCTTTATCATAACACTATTTTTATTTTAAAATAATTAGAATAGAATGAAGATAGGCTTTAACACTGACGATTCAAAAGTGATTAATTATGTTCACACAACATCGTACACTGATTGAAGTTAGATTTGTACATTATTAAATCCAGGCTTAGTTACCTGAATATTAAGTGTTCACACACCGAAGGTCCTCGGTTCGATTCCCGGGTGCGGAATCGTGAATCCTTAAAAATAGACAGGTTGTGGAGAAAACAACAGTATTGCAAATTCTGAACCAGTTTTTACGTAATTAATAAGTCTACTATTAGTATCTTCTACAGGTTACTCTACGTGTATATCCTTATGAACATAGATTGTTCATCTACTAGAACCCTTATAAGGACCTAAATAGATGGTTAAGAGTCGTCAAACGTTCTTCGTCAGAGATTGGTATTCAGGGTAAGGATTAGGGTTTAAGGGTTAGAGTTACCATTACGAACTGACATTAGTTATGATGTAAAAATGCTCTGTAAGAATTTGGATCAATGGATTCCACTCAAACATCCAAAAGACTCCGACTGACAAGTTCGTCCACAAAATGTAGCGCCATCAGGTTAAGGCATGCTTCAAGGATTACGTTTAAGACTTAGAGATAATATCTGATTCCCTATTATATTCAATTAAATAAGACAGAGTTGAGGATTTGATGCATTTAACACTATCGTTGAAAAAGTAGTTTCTTTCTTATGATTTTAAACGTTTTAACCAGTATAAAAAGGTACTTTTATTGTTTATCTGAATTCCGCACAAAAAATCAGAAGTTTCGTTCTCTATTCTGATTAGCTCATACCTGTACTTTTAGCAAAACAATTGATAACTTCGTCGAATTTCTATTTTAAATCACAGGTTTTATATGTAAACCACTCACGAACACAGGTTTATCGACATGACTTTGAACCACATATTAAGTCTGAGAGAAACTGATACTACTCGACCATTGAAGTCACAGTAGACTAGGCGGGGTTTTGACTTGGGATCGTATGATTGGATGCCAAGTAAATTAACGACTTCTAAGTTACTGGTCTATTGAATCAGTTTTAATTGATCTATGTTGTCTTTATCACCTTCAGTGACTCATGGTTTCATAACCCATGGATCATCAATTAAAATAGATATTTAAAAAATATTTGGTTGGGAAATCCTGGACTTAGATTTTGTGTTAGCGTTTGTTAGAAAAATATAGTTGAAATACTGAACGAATCTGAAAATCTGATAAGTTTCAAATCTACAATGTAGTGTCACAGTGAGACCCAAGACGAACCATTCAAACTGAAGGTCACACTGAAACTTGATCGACATAGACAGTTTTGTCAGTATAAAGAGAAAGAAAATGGGTTACTAGTAAGTGAACAGTCGATACAAACACCTCCCTACCACAGGATATTGTATAAAAAGTTTAAATCCAACAAACAGTATCAGTCCCTTTAATCTTAAAGATATGTTATGTTGATGAGTGCCAACTGGTATGAAACCAAGATTTGATTATTCCTGTGAACTCCCTCAAATTACGAAACACTCAGATATACCTTTATGGGATATAAACATATATTTAAGCACATAGCCTTGCAAATTTATGTTTCGTAATGCCAATTTATTCGTTTCCTGACCCAGAGGTAGTATAGTGGAATAGTTTTACCTTAAAACTATGATATCAATAATATTAGATAAGAATGATTATCAGTAGAATTCATGGTTTGTATCTGATTCAATAGTTCACTGAATAATGCGATGGTATTTAAAGTGCAAAATGCTTGATTCACAACTCTCAATGTAAATATTCAAGTGATGAACTCCAAATAAGATGTTTGGTTGGTTCTAGCCTTCTTCCAACTTACTTTTACGCTGGTAAACATTATGCTTTAAGGTACGGGGTAGTAAAACATATCTAATCCATGTTCTGCTCGCTTCATTTAAGGAAAACTCACTACTTCAACAACCATTTTTCCGGTCCTCATCTAATACCATCAACCACCTGCGTCTAACTCGATGATCCTAATACAACCATGTAAAATGCTTTGAAGGCATTTCTTCATTCACTACATGAATTTAACATTAAAAAAAGTTTTTCTGTAACAATGAAGACTTACTCAATAAACGATGTATCTGGACCAAGAATAGCTCCACAACCTGGCCAATCACATACTTGTCCAGCAATAAGTAATGCTCTAGCAGGATCAGTTGTTAATGCTGGTAAATTTGTACCTAATGTTGGATTATTACCAATTTTCAAACCAGTTAATGTTGTTGATGATAATGATGATGAGGGGTTTGTTGTTACTGGTATTGCTGGTGTCATTATCGTGGAGTTTATATTCTCCCGACCACTAACACCACTGTTAACATTGTCTTCGGAGCATGAAATTGTCATTAGTTGACTTGAATCAAATGTGTTGGAAAGAAGACATCGTTGTTCTAGTGATTTATGCAATTGATCTAATTCACCGATAAGAATCTTCTCATATAATGCTATAAAGGTAAACAGATATGTTAAACAAAATAACAACATTGAGGTTATGTGGAAAAAATAAAACAAAACACACATTTTAAACAATTTACATTAATGGGAACAGTAGTAATAATAGTAAAACTAAAGACATAACAATACTGAATGTGCTAAACATTATCGGTAGGAATAAATTACTCAATGTGTCAAGTGTGAAAAAGTTACCCACGAGGCGGGGTCGTGGGTGCGCACGGCTGAGAAGTTCCACAATAGGACGAAACGACCGTACAGTGCTTCCAGGTTTTCCATGGTGGTCTAGCTTCAATTGACTCATGATCTCAACTGTTTAGAAATTGCAACAATCTCCACAAAACCCCTTCTGATATTGCAAGATGTTTGAGTGATATTACTGATTGATAGAAGTTAGACATATACATCATTAGATGATGAGTTCGATTACTGGTGATGATGGTAGTCGATATGCGCTACTAAAGAGTTTAATAATAGGGGAAAACGGATGTCCAATGCTTCCAGGTTTCTAATGTTTTTTGGAACTTGGATCGGTTTTTGATTTAAATCAAATTTCAATAATCTCCACAACCTCATACCGATATTCCACATAAATTTACGAGAAATGAACAGCACTTACTCAGTGTTAAATAACAAAGTAATAGCATGTGACTGAATGATTCATATATTGATAACAATGTTCATAAATACCCAGTGATCAACCATTGTAAATATCTCAATCCTACAGGAGGTTAGTCACTACCTGAATAGTTCAATGGTAATGTTTCAGACTGCGAAGCTGAGAGTAACAGTTCCTTAAATATTCCAGGTACGCCTTACTGACGGGTGATAACTAGCACGAAACCTAGATCCGCGGTATTTTACAATTAACTCTAACTACAATCTAACATTTCAACATACTACATGTGATATCAAGTCACTTAGATCAAGGACCAGATTGTCAATTGATTAATAGAAGTCAACTGAACGAACATGATAGTGACCACTATTCAACTATCACTCAATATTTCTAACAGAACTATTAAGGTGTGTAGGGAGGAGGAAATGAATGGTTTATAGAAACTTTTCTCTATTTGAAGCGAGCTCTATGTATTGACTGAGATAATGAAAGGAGAATCTCGTTTCTTTTTTTTCACAAAAAAATATAGAGAACACTGCGATGTTATTTTAGGCTTGATTGAAACTTCTCATCACGAACTTTTACATTTCACAAAAAGTATAATAACTTTAAACAATTAGGTTGTATTTTCAGTATGGGGTTGTAGAGATTGTTGAATTTCATTGAAATCATGAACCTATTGAAGTTACATAACTATTAAAAACCTGGAAGCACCAGACAGCTGTTTCATTCTAGTATGGTGCTCCTCCGTAGAAGTTCACGTGACTATCGTAACCAATTACTGGAGACTCTTGGTGACATGGCTCAGAATCGATTACAATGGCGTTGGTGTATACACTCTCTGTCTTCCCTTAAACTATGAGATTAAAATCGCTTCATATCTTTCTTTATACGAACTAATTCTTTCTTCCTGTATTATATCCTTATTGCAATCTTTCTTTTATATATTACCACCACTGAATTAACTACTTTTATGAATCCGGTGTCCATTCTGTTGTCTTAATGAGGTATGGCAACTTGGACCGATGCATATATGTGTCTGGTCCTACGTTGTAGCTGACTGAATGACTGATTGAGTGAACGTCCACGGCCATCCAGTACTTCCAGGTTTTCAATCATAATTTAAATTAAATCAGTTCATGATTTCAATGGAATTAAGTTGAAATTCAATGTTACACATTTCTAACTTTAATTAATTCCCAATGTAAAACAATGATAATAAACAAATGTTTATCAATGGAAGTTTTATTAAAGTTTACATTTCCCTAAGTTTAATGTTATACTGAAACGAATGAATGACCCTTTGGAAAGTTTACAAATATCTTAATTAAATACAAATAATCTGTAGTAAAGTGAGAATTTCCATTATGATATTTGCTAAAATGAATCATATTCCATCAAAGTTACCATATGGTTTACAAGATCTTTCATTGGACATTGCTGAAATGATTGAAATACATGTTCACAAACTTAAACTTTGTATTACAAAAGAAGTTTGTACAACTATTCTCGCTACTTTGATCATCGATATAAGAGTGAGCATTTAACCAAAGTTTGATTCAACCCTTACTTTAAATAATATTGAAATAATTTTTGGTAAGTCTATACTTTATGGATGACTTTGAACGACGCTAAAGTGACCTTGAGAAAGGACACCTACTGATTAGGAGTAAATGAGGGTTATAGAGCAGTTAGAATTCTCATTTACAGTTGATGGTTCCGGTTAGGAATTAGATTTATGGTTTTTATCACGAACTGACATCAACTATAATGTCAAAACTTTATTTAGCCAAATGTATGCATGAATTTCGCGCCCAAATCCGTGACTCGTTATCTTATACCTGATTGGTTCATCCATAAATTCTAGTCTCGCCTAATTTTCTAATTTTTTCCATTTCTGTAGTTTTACATGTTCTCAACATTCATCTCTTGATTCTTACATAACTACTGTAATACTAACTTTTCATCAAACCATTTGGTTAGTTCTTTCTGTTGATATATTATACAATGTAGCAACTATTGGCTTTTTCGAATAATTGTGATTAGATGGTGGTTAGAGGTAGTCGACAGCAAACCCTGGACCCGGGTTTTATGTTACTTGGCACTCGTCAGCAAGGTGTACCTGTATTCTTGAGGGAACTAGTGCTCCCTGATGGATTCAATCCCGTGTCAACCAGCTTCATAGTCAGAGACGTTACCACTGAGCTATCCGGGCCGCGACTGACCTCCTGTAGGACTGAGATGTAATCACAATTGATTGATCACTGGGTGGTGATCAATGCCATGTGTGTCAAGTCCTTATTTAGTGCAGATCGAATGCTATCGACCATGTTGCAATGTGGCCACTAATCTAAATGAGGACTTGACACACATGACATTGATCACCACCCAGTGATCAATCAATTGTGATTTCCGAATAATTATTCTGATTTATAGTAAATTTGTTTAAGCAAATTAAATCATACCTGAGTTTTTTCCACAATCTAATGGATATTAAATATGAAAGATACAAAGAGGTCACTCAGTTAGTTGGTCATAATCAACATAGAATATCGCATAAGTGCGCTTCAGACCAAGTTGTCACACAAAAGTTTTTAAAAAATGACAAAAATGCTGATAAACCGATCAAATGTGGTGACAATAATCATGGGAATGATTGAGCATTAAGAAGATAGTTTTAAAAGACAATGAATAGACGTATATACGGAGGAATAGTGAAACTCAAAGTTTAGAAAGAGAAAAATAAGGAGAATTAAAATCGAGCAGTTATGACTGATTCTGAGCCATGGTCAACCTAACATCTTCAAACATCGAACCAATGATCCTAACTGGGTAGTTTGAACATAATAAAATGGTTTAGTCTAGCACATAACAACTTCATGATCTGATGTTACGTGTTGTTTTCGTTGTGTACAAGTTTTCTTTTAGCTTAACCCTATAGACATGTTCTAAAAGAAATACCTGTTCTTAATCATTATTAAAGTGGTAATTTAGCTCATGAAAGTATCGATTTAATGTAAGCTGTCGTTTATGATAAATCTTTGATTTAAAAAAGATGGATGCTTTTACACATGGTTAGTCAAATCATCTGTAAATACAGCATATTTTGGAAGTTGAAATTAAAATTGTCAGCAATTCCATGGTGTGATTTCCATTCTAGGTGTATTTTTGAAAAGATTAAACATGTAGATTGTTGGATTTCAGAATGATAAACGATGTTCTTCGTCTCGGTTTTAGTGACTAATAATTTCTAAATAACCACACCCACAATCTTTAGATCTCTTATTGATTCAACCTGTAGTTAATCTCACAGAGTGGGAGAACAAAGAACTAAACGAAATAAAATGAATTCGTGTTATTCTGTTCAGTTCTTTGTTCTTCTGGATCATCAGTCATAGTAACAAGAGTTCACAGAGATAAAATAAATTATTGATTATGTAATGGATTCATTGAGTACAAAGTAATAGCAATTAAGAATAGCATGAGTTGAGATCAGGTAGTTAGAAACAAAGATTCTGAATTCGAAAGAAGCGATTTAATTGAGTTAAATTGTAAGAGTGGTGTAAAAAACTGATGGGAAAATTTGCAACTGTTTCCAGCTTGAGTCGCTTGATAGCTTCGTGGAATTTCAAAAGAATGGAGTTCGACTGTCGATTAATAAATGTTGAAAAATTCAGTCCACCAACTTGATGTCACATATCACATAGATGTTTTGAAATTACACTGCTAAAAGCTTTCAATCTCAGTGACCTGAGACTTTTTGGGATATGTTCTTGGAATCGAACGTAGGCCCTTCTTTTTGTTCTAATAATGTAACTGCTTTGGCATACACATGTAAATTTGTATGCACAGTTGGCGGTAAAATGAAAGAGGTATCTATCGATCTTTGATTAGAGTAAAAAATAAAATGTTCTATAAAAGATAATCAGCCTAACTGTAGGATAAATTCTGGTCAGTGTTGTTTTTAATTTTCTGTTTATTGTCAATCAAACATCGTCGCCTTTAAATCCATGTCAAATGAAAATAGGTTTTTTGTCTAATTTCATTTTTTTTCAAGCCTTTTGTTTTCTTATTTCTCATTAATAAATCTCTTTGGGCACCCGTTTTTTCCTTTAAGCATTCTTTCGCATTCATTAGTTCTATTTTTAGTGTATCAATGGTAGATACCCTTACCATTCTGTGAAAGTATTTTGAAAAGTACCTTTTTGTAAATAAGTGGTTAAAAACTGTTAACATTTAAATAAACGCCGTTCCACATATCTGAACGTTGAACGGTACCACCACCATACCGCTGAGAAGGTGGAGCTTATTATTCTTTTCCTGTTCCCCAGTAAATTCAACAGGTGTTTTTCGTTGTTGATCATTACAAATATT